TCATGGGCGACAAAAGTCGAGTTCGAGACTTTTGCAACGGCTAATGGTTGGAGAGACGATAACATAGAATAGATACAGGCTTGGCTGTAGCATTGCGTGCCCTGCCACCCTAATTAGACGAAGGTAAAGGTGACTGCTTGCATGTGTTTAGAATGATAACGGAGGAAACAGTTTGTACATCATCAAATAATTTTCTTCCTCATAACACCAATTAGAGACTCTTTGGCCAGCTTCTCAACCAAACTATGGTGCGCTCGTTGATGCGTTAGAGAGTGTCCTTACCAATGGTATCAGGTATCTACAGCTAAGAATAAATCAAAGAAAAAGCTGTGGAAGCTTCACAACAATTTGATTGTCTCAAATCCATAACCGGCGACCGCCGTCTGGTTAGTTTGGCATATTTCGAAGCCTAAGCAGAAATGAGAGAAGAACTAGCGGCCGAAATGGAATTATTGATATGGATGTACAGAAGAATGCAGCTTATAACCAAACCATCTGTAGTATAACATACCCTAGTTCGTTCAGCAAGATTGAACGGTGTGAATTTTTATTACCTTTTAAACAACAAATCTTCTGAAAAACGAAATGAAAAACAAATAGGACCTACGTTGTGGAAACTTACTCAATTTTTCTTTTCTTACTGGACATGCCCCCGACATAGCAAATATTAGGGAAATTTAAGGGAGGTTGTGATATGTAAAAGAAACGAAAAATTTGTGAAACGTCTACTTTATTATTAAAGTAAATCGTACCGTTCTCATCCTGGAACTAACGAGGGGAAATAGCACGGCAGAGAAACCCTCGATCTACAGTCATCAAAAATCAAAAACATACTGTGTCATTTTAATAATATTTGTGAGTCATTAATTCAATAATTTAAGTAAATAAAAGTTTAAATTAGGTACCGCCCCTGTTCTTGTGCTAAAATTTCAATTACACACACTACATTCAATCAGCACTACCTATATTCAATACTGAAGAGTTTTTTGGTTAGTTAGCCAGTTTCCCAGCAGGTACTGAGGTCCCATACGGGAAGCTACTCAGCAATAGTTGTTTTTGAGCTAATTTCTCTAGATTGATTATTTCAATTTGCTAGGATATTCTCTCGTCAGGGTAAGAAAATGTTAGTAAATTCAACAAGGCCCTAATGCACACTCTAAATCCAAAAATCAAAATCCCAGCACAAAAAGATAGCACATAATTTTTCTAGGCTTTAATTTACTTTTTATCTGTGTTGTTTAGAGCATGAAACGATTTTTGTTAAATATATGAACAATGCACATGCTATAAAAAAAAATTATAAACAAACAAAAAAACATAAAAATGGGGAAAAAATAATACTTGTATAAATTGAACTCTCAAAAGCAAAATAATAGTTAACTGACCTGTGATCGCTCCTTGACACACACACTAATCACAAATTGGATTGAACAATCAGTTCAATACAAAATAAAAGTAAAAATTGAATATTGAATAATGGCGGACAAAACCTTAAGGGACCAACCCAGAGCTCCGCTTCTTCTCTAGTCTAGTCGCTTCTTTCTTCTGTCTCCCATTCGTAGTACCGTTCCTTGTGGCTCGAACGCGGTCACCCCTAAATTTGACGGCGCATACATGGTTGCAACATTTACTTTTATTCAGTAACCTTTTTTTTTTTAAGTTAAGATTTGAAGAAATAATATTTTAAATAGGTGGTTTTCCTCACATCAATAATTGGCCATTGAAACGATCTGATTTGACAGGGAGGTAGTATTACAACATAGCAATGTAGCGGAGAGACCGATGCTTCTATTGCAACCCGAGCGCGAATATTCAGGAATTTTATTGTGTCATTCGAATAAACGATCATTTACGTGATTGCTCGTTCGAACGGTTTTGTAAATAAAGCACGTAGTTTGTTGTTGCAGTCAGTTTGAATCAGAGAATTATTGCAGAGAGTTTGATAAAAGCAATAGGTAAGTGATTAGTGCATTCTATTTTGCAATGGTAATAAGTTCAATACAAGTTGTTGTTAGTAAAGAAGGTTCTAGTCGACACCCGAAATACGTGATAATACATAAACGCACTATTAAAACAATATAAGTACTTAAATGGAAAAATTGATTCTCATGCTGATTGATGATACAGTTTTGCTGTTTAGAGGATATTCATGGCCTCCTAAGCAAAGAATGAACTTCTTCTTGTTAAAAATTGGTTGTATTCCTACAAACTTATCTAAGCATTTTCCTTGATATTCGTTAATAGACCGCAGAGCTTCATCACAAATGATTCACCAATGATGATAGTACAAAAATATCAGATGTAAAAAATATAAAATATCGAAGACTAATAATTAATATTGACCAACTGGACTGAACCTGTAGGTATCCTATCTTACAAAAAAAAATAGTACTGAAACTAACAAATTTATCGTATGCGCTTCTAAAAATTTCGTGAATACGCACAAAACATATATGGAGAACAACAAAAATAAAAACACATTTGACCAAAAAATATATTCGTTTATTCCATGGAATAAAATATTGAGAATCAATGTTATGTTGTTATATAAGACCTAACTAATTGCGATTCCAAAGTCTTAAGGTTTCCAGCAAACGTAGGTGGATGGGAATGCTCGAGATGCCTGATAAAGAGAGAGTTCCCTGAAGCATAGATCCTGACCCTACAATTTTTAGTGGTTTCCATGGTACAAACCCATAATGTCGTTTTGTCTAAGTTTGCCGTGAAGTAGAACTCGTAGTCATCCTTGATCAATATTTGGTATTTTCCCTTATTTATGATATGAATGATTTCTAAAAAAAAAAAAAGAAATATTAACTGACAAAATACCAAAAATTTAAATATGAGCTACTTTGAATGTTTGGCATTTATTTAAAGATTGAAGTAACAGCCCTAAAAAGGTGAAAATATATACACTTGAAAACTTACAATGGCAATATCTGAAAAACAAAAAATATAAAAAATCGCTGAAAACAATTTCTATAATAGGGAGGGGGAACCAAAATGATGTGATAACTGAACTGTTTTCACTTACCCCCTTACCCTCAGCCATTCCTACTAAATATTCTTGAATAGCAACCCTCTACTTGTGATACTTTATCTGAAAGCACTTAAAAAATGCTTTGGTACCAAAATCAATTAGTTGTTTTTTTTTTTTGCTAAATTAAGAATTGTATAAATTTTTCTTATCTGAAATGGTAATATTTTTTTAAATAAAACTCTACTGTATCATCCATGTACTATATTAACTATTTGGGATTTACACGTAGAAATATCTCCAGTGAAAGTTGGCTTATGGGTATGGGATTTACGATTAATTACCAAGGTGTTCTCAGAAGAATAAAATGCTGCTCTGCATTTATGTTTGTCATCTCTATTGCAGACCCAACGAGTCTTGTTATACAAACGGTCTTTTAGCCGAAATTCGTAATTGTCCATGATGATCATTGGGTTCTTACGTTTGTAGATAAAGTGAATTGTAGCTAAAATGATGAAAAAATAAATAGTTTATTGGAAGTTGGTCGAACATAAAATTACTAAAAGCTACAAGATGAGTGCCTACTTCAAGAAACTTTGCACTGAATGGACAAAGAAGAAAAAAATTAGCTTCAATAAATTATACTTTAACGACGCGAGTAAGTATAAAAACTTCACATAGATGATTCACAGGTCTCGTATTTTTGAGCTCACCATGAGGTAATTGAAGCATTTCAAGCATCAAGTATAGTCTATCGTTTCTCAAATGAGACAAGGCAAATATTGGGGTTTCCTCAAATTATCGTATTGCCCCTTAAATTTATTATATTATTATTAGGAAAAATATATTGAGCGTGCCCGTATACATTGGATGCGATTCCACGTGCGAACAATGCATCTTATTGGTTGTTTTATACAGTCAACGTTGACTCCCGGAATATCTTATTGGTTAGAAATTTTAACGGCGTATTTGGCGGCATATTTCTTTGAAGTGGCGGCGTCTTTGGCGGCATATTTCTTTGTAGCGGCCGCCTTTTGCGAATCAGTTTCATCTGGAAAGACAGTGCAGTAGATAGTTTTTATAAATTTGATTCCTATTTGAGTTGTATCGTGCCTCATTTTTTATTTTATGTAAAACTGTTTTGATAAATTTCTCTTACACGCCCGTGCTTCATAAAGAAAACGCCGACGGCCAAAGGAATATTTTTTTTTTTACTGTCTCATTTGACTATCGATAGACTATACCTCAGCCAACAATTGCGTTCAGAATTATTCTTTGTAGACGGTTTAATAACTGGTTTCAACGATAAGATGAATTTTGTTGAAGATAGATGAAAATCTTTGAAGAGCCATGTTCGCAATCTCCAACAATAGTAACAGTGTGTGAACAATTTTCAAACATTGATTAATTCATAGCTAGGCGTTACAAAAATACTACATCTCAAAATATTCATGCAACAGTCAATATGGAAAGAAAATAATAACTTATTTAGGAACGTATATCTTCCAGAAGGATAACAGTGAAAATAGACCAAAAACACAATCACAGGCATATATTTTCGGAACACCATGAATTTAGCACAGATTTCAAATACTTGGCCATGAGAACATTTTATAACCAACTGCAAAATGAAGTTGAAAAATTATTAATTTAATACTCTAGCGTGAAACACACTTTTACGTACTCTGGTGAAATCTCAGAGTGAAATCGTGGGACTGAAAATGGCAATTTCAAACTTGACGTCAGTACTGACAATGTTTCCACCAGTAAATAAGCACTTGGTACTATTCTATCCTATCCCAGCCATTAATTGCAAATGTGTTTTCCTAGTACTCAGTCCCATACCAACGGTAACCGCCGGAGGTTGCCGTTGGTCTTCACCACTGACAACTTAAAAATGATGAGGGACTTGACCGACAAGGTAGAAATGGAATAGGTCTCGGTAGCTCAGTTGGTAGAGCGTAGCACTGGATATGCGAGGGTCCTGGGATCAAATCATAGTCGAGGCAAGAAAATTTTTCATAAATTTTTATTTAAAACGTCTGCATGCCACTAAAATCCATCACATTGCAAATATTTAATATTAACGATTTGAGATTCGAATTGTCCAGTCGGTCCAGCAAAGGTAGCATTATGAGTATGGGGCAAATACCTGACTTCAAATTTATTTTCGGATGCGTGAATCCTTACTTTACATTTGGTATATTCCTTGGAGCAAGTCCACACTGTGTGAGTACTTCTATAATTCTTCACGTGGAAAAGGTGATTGTCTAATAATAACTGCGGATTTTTTCGTTTGGTGAAAAAGTAGATGGTTGCTAAAAAAAAAAAATATTTCAAAAATCTAAAATTAAATTTTCATTGAAGGGTTTGTTTATGTAGTGAGGCAGTTTTATATACTTAGTAATTTAAATTACTTGAAATACAAACTCACCCTTTTATTGTCCGTCGATTTTAATCTGATACTCGGACGGAATGTGAGCTGGTGGCTCCCTACATTAGAACGCCAATAGTTACCTGACGTGACACCTGTTTTTGCCATATGAAACACCCTCTCGCTCCTCATACCGCAAGTATCAGTTAAAAATCGACGAACAATACCAAGTCCTTTTGGATTCGGTTTTGCTACTAAGCCCTAGTTCCTGAGGTACACTCTGCTACTTATATCGCTACTTTATTGGGTAATGCGTTATATAGTTCTCTCAAAAGTAACTGTTATTGAACCTATACCATTTATTGGAACTGTAAACATCCAAAGTCAAACTAACATTTGGGTAGTTAAGTACTGGAACTGGGCAATATTATTTTGTTGTTACTCTATATAATACCAGTGAAATCACTTGCTGCCACACACCAGTGCCACTAATTTGCCTAAATAATGTAATTGATTGGGTACATGGAGAGACGAAAAAGTCCCAGAATAGTTCCACTGACCATCACTTGGAACGCCTTTTTGAATTGTTCCATCAAAAAATTACAAAAAAAAGCTTATTTTGAGGGCGCGTTGAAATTTTATTATATAATATGCCAGCTCATACCGAAAAATTGAATTGTGTTTGAAAAAATGGTCAAAGAAGTACATTGAACACGCGCCTAAAGTAAACAAATATTTGGTAGGCATAATATATCCCTGCGCCATTCTTAAAAGAAAATAAAGAGGGCGCCAGATATTACCTGGATAAAAAGTGGTAGTCACAGGTGGCAGTTACTAGGCGATCACTTAGCGGTTACTAGGCCGCCGAGACGCAATTTATTTCGGTTGTGTTTATTTTTGTTTTTAACTTCCAGTTAAAAGAAAAAAAAACGTGTGTAATTAAACTTTGTTATTCACGATATTAATTTCCATTTGGGTATTGTTTCTCAAGATCTGGTTGTGTTATGGTTCCAAAACGTAAACCCTTTTAGTGAACGATAGCTATATCGATACATCGATAGTTTTTATTCGCTACTATCGATAGTTAGATTCTTCGATAGTTTCGATTGTTTCGAAGTGATTCAGGTCTGACGTCAGGTGATCATTGGCGTTCTAACGTAGGGAGCCACCTCACATTCCTTTGGAGTATCAGATTCAAAACAACGGACTGTATACATGTATCACCATCACCTTCCTTGGGGACGTCAGAACGACAACTTCACGAAGAGCCAGCGCGAAAATGTTCCCACGCTTAGGTTGAAAATATGAAAGAAATTGTCCGACTCAAGGGACCTGATTGGAGCAGCGTTCTCAGGAGAACGAGTGTTCCTTATTTCTCAATGATATGCAACTGATAGTATAAGTAGCAAAAGACGGAACTCTCGTTCTCCTAGGAACGCTGCTCCCTGGTTCCAAGAATAAGGTCCCAGGAAGTTTGAGGTGTACATGACTTGAATAATATAATACCTTAATCAAATACGTTGCGTCGATTTCAGAAACAAAATTAAAGTTGCTCGACCGTGAGTAGTAACCTGAATTTGAAAAATGAAGCCGTTTTTTTTCAGGTATTTTGGCACCAAAAAAATGGCGGTATAGGCAATTCAATGCTTTACCTGTATGTTGGTGCCAAACACCTGCCAAAAACTTGGCTTCACTTTAGTTTCATAAGCAGAATGGCGCGTTCCTACTCCTTATGTCCGTAGGACAGCGCTTTACCTGCTTTAAGGTTTGTACAATGCGGCCATGCGCCGTTGGGTGTAGGGCGCTTTCGGACCTACGCGGTCGCGTGACGCGTTGCCGACGGAGAGCCCAGAAGATGGCATGGATTGCAAAACGGAAACGCAATAAGCTTAGTTCATATACTTGCGAATCGCGCATCGCGGAAAGTGGATAATGATCCTATTGGTCGATTTTAAATGTCAAGCGGTGGGAAGCCAAATCAACCAACAGAATCATTATTCGCTTTCCACAATTCGCGATTCGCAAATATATGAACTAAGCTTCAATGAGGGATTTTTGCAGATTTTTTTTTGATTTTAAGAAAGGGGCCCTGCGGGGCCCCCCTTGTTCCGGGGCCCCAGCGCTTCGCGCACCCCCGCTCATCGATAGCTACGCCACTGGTAACAAGAGGGTTGTAACACTATGAATTTTCCACATCGAAAATATTCTGATTGGAACTTTGTGAATTGCTAGATACAATTCAGCCCATACGCAGGTGATTTTCACTTTGTGTTTTGTAGGATTGTAGGACTTCGAGGGGATGACAATACTTGCACTTGCTCTTGGTATATTCGATTGTGTTGCGGTGATGAGAACTGATAAGTTCGCAACCGGTAGGTAGCTCGCGAAGTGCACAATGAGAGGAAGCTCGATTTTCTCTCTATTATAAAGCACAAACACGCGTATTACATATTCTAGATATGTCTAGAAGCGATATAATCTCATTGCATAAGGTGAATGCATGGGATTCTACCCACTCGAACACCTGTACTATGAATTAAGCATTATTTTCTGGAATTGAAATTTTTCAAATATAAATCAAGTTAGTAAAAAAAAAACAGGCTCAGAACACATGTAGGTATATTATCAAACAACATTTCAATAAAAATTATGGAAACAGAAAACTTATACTACACATACTTGGGTTGTACAGACATGCTACTAAATTATTCAGCTGATTGAAAAAAATTTGAGATGTCTTCACAAACTGGATGTTTAATATTGACAATTTGAGACGCAAAATGTCCAGTTGGTCCGGTATAAGTAGCTTTATGAGTATGGGGCAAATACCTCACTTCCAATGTATTTTCCGAGGCGTAAATCCTTACTTTACATTTGGTATATTCCTTAGAACACACCCACACTGTGTGATCACCTTTATAATTCTTTATGTGAAATTGGTGATTGTTCAATAACAACTGGGGATTTTTTCGTTTGGTGAAAAAGTAGACGGTTGCTAAAAATAAAACATTTTAAAAATCTAAAACTATTAATAAAGGGTTTGTTTATATAAAACTAACGTGAGGTTGAGTATTTCAAGTAATTCAAATTACCTGCTTGAAGCAAACAAGCTCATTATTTCAGTTAGGTATCTTTTACAAGCACACATTATTAACCTCCCTTACTATTGACATGTGTATCCAACATAAAATAATGTAAAAGTAGGTCTTTGTTATCTGACTTCATCAAAAATATTTGAAGCAATTTTTTATTATAGTTTGAATTATCACAAATCCTATGTATGTATTTATCTAAGTTCTACTGAATATATTCACTCTGTTAGCACCAACGTATCATGTTAGTTATTTTAGACTTCAGACTGGGGCCCGTACACATAAAATGGTGCTTTCTCAATTTTGCAGTTACATTGACCAATCAATTACATCTAAATAATGCATTAATTTCATCATGATTCAGAATTTTGACAGGTAACGTCTACTATTTGAGTGGATAATCCTTCAGCTGGCCCATACTGTAGTTAGCTTCATGAGTGTGATTACCGCTACGACTCTTGTTATTGATGAATTTATGATTGACCGATATGAATTATTATTGATCATGTTTTCGTTTGGTTAATAATTAGGTAGTACCTGAATTCTTGCTAGAAAATAGGATATTAAAAATCTAAAATAATTATAAGAATATATATTGGTGGAAATAAATATATTTGTTGTAGTGAAATAAGGTTTATTTGAAACATTTTCAAATTATAACATTACTCTTTTGTATCTTTGAGGTGCTTGCCTCAACCATTGCATTATAGCCTTCTCAACGTCACGCTCGGTGGTATTCCTTTCTATTTTTCTTGAGCTCACTAAAATTGACTCTGAAAAAAATATTTTTTTGATAAGAATAATACTCTTTGCTGGCTTTCATTATACATAGTAATTGTAAATACGACGTGTTGTTAAAATATATATTTCCAACCATTTTTATTACCCAATAGTATGGCTAGAGAGACTTATTAATTTAAAACACATGCCATGATATCTGACCTGACTGTGACCGGACCGCATCTAGACATTCCACTATACAATTCGGCACCCGTCTCTAAGGCGATTGGCTGATTTGAATAATATTTTGATATAAGGCCAAAACGTATAGTGGAATGTTCATACTCATTATGCATAAGTGCAGCAACAGAATTGCTGAATCACGTAGTAGAATGTCAGGACGGTGCCCAAAACGAGAGTACAATGCCCTATGATTATTTTTGCGTTACGCATAGGGCTAATTACTGGAATGTAGGAGTTCTTCAAATAGGTAGGTTTTTTGTTTTTGAAGTGATTCAATTAAAAACCACTAATTAGGTACCTATATAATATTATTGTAGTTCATTTTAGAAAATATGTAATTTATACATAGTACGAACATACATAACACTATAAATAGTTCCTAAAAATTTTTGATTTTGATTAACTTTCAATATTAATCAAGAAAATGCAGACTTACTCAAACTAACCCAAACTAACCCGTCGGCCTAGGCCCTAGTGCGATCTAGTCCTCGTAATTTACCATTTTATTTGAAAAAACAGAGTAAATCTAGTTATAGCATAGCGTCCCTTGGGCGCGCTTTGTTTTTCAAATGAAACGCTAACTTTTACGAGGACCTAGATCGCACTAGGCGGACGGGTTAGTTTGGGTTAGTTTGAGTATGTCTGCATTTTCTTGATTATCATTAATTCAATTTCATGTGTCGCTGTTTTGTTTAGAGGTCGCCGTTTTAAATGTCGCTCTATTAATATGTCGCAGTGTTAAATGTCGTTTTTTTCTCACATACTGTGTCTTTTGATATATCGCTCTTTTGCAATGTCGCAGTTTTAAATTATCGCGATTTTGAATGTCGCTCTTTTGATATGCCGCCGTTTTTTTTAAATGTCGCTGTTTTGAATGTCGTTATTTTAT